TGGTCCAGTGACACAGTGACTTGGGGTCCCCATTGAACAGAGCCGGAGACTGAGACTCGGACAGGAAAGCGGCCCCTGTCGGTCTGTCGCCCCCACAAAAGCAGGGATGTGTCCCCACCATAGCCTGCAGCCCTCAAGAGGCCACAGTGCCCTGGGGTGGCCTCAGTGCCAATGCGCGCCCCCCCCAGGCTGTGGGACTCAACTCCGTGCCTCTCCTCTTGCTTTGTTTGATTTTCCGAGACAGGCCCTTGCTATGTAGCCAGGCTGGCCTCGAACTCACAGCGATCCTCCTGCCTCAGCCTCCCTAGTGCTGGGCTGACAGGCGGGCACCCCCACACCTGGCTCACAGTGGCCTTCCCTGGGGTTGGACAGAGAGGCCTGAGGTGCAATCTGACACTGGCCTCTCCGGGAAGCTGCCTTTGTCATCTCTGGGAGCAAGTGACCCAGAAAAGCTTCCTGTCACCCAAGCCGGGTCCTTTCCAGAGCAAGGGGTCCTTTGCCCTCCCGGATGCCCAGCCTCCCCATCCACATTTCTCGCCTGTGAGATTTTGCACCTGAAGATAAAGCAAATCTCACCTCAGGTTCCTGTGGGGGGGGTCTCCCCAGTGTCTGTGCCTCCCCTCTAGAAACTTGGGGTCCCCTGGGAAGTCCCAGGAGGCTCGGGCCAGGACAGGCCAGCTCGTGTCTCCTGCCCCCTTCCCGCTCCCACGTGGGGCCGGAGAGCAACCTGGACCCTCTCTCCCACCCCCACCCCTGTGCCAACAATGACCCTTTCAAGGCCCAGCAGTGTCCTGGGCAGCTGCCATCCGCGCAAAGCCGAGCGAGTCCTCGGAGACGACGTCCCTGCCCACGCAGGAGGCGGCTTCCGGCTCCGGGGGGAGGGGGAGGCTGAGGGCGAGGCCCTCTGGTGGTCCCGGGGCCCCGATGGGGGGCAGCCTTTTGGGACAGAGTCCTAGGGTGCCGGCGGCTCACCTGTCTGGCAGGGTGTGCAGACTCCAGGCAGGCGATAGCAGCCAGGACCTGGGTCCCCGTGTCCCATGGGCGGCAGGGAGGGGACCCCAGCCTGCAGCTCCAGCCGGCCCACCTCTTGGCCCAATTCGTCCTCTGTCTCGGTAGCAACTGGTGAACACGTCCCTGTCCAAGTGGGGCTTGCGAAAATGTGCACAGGCGGCGGGGCGGGCAAGGGTGGCGTCCAGCCGGGGCGTGTGTCTCTGTCGCAAGGTGCTGTTACCTCACGTGGGAGCCACCAGCCTTAACCCCTGCTGGCCCAGAGGCTGGGGACAGCAAGACGCACCTGTGCCAGGGCCCTGTGCAGCCCGAGAAGGCACAGAGGCGGGCGCGGTGGTGCACACCTGTCATTCTGGCACTGGGGGTGTAGGGGGAGGCTGAGGCAGGACGATCACTGCGAGTTCAAGGTTGGCCTGGGCGATTTAGAACTTAGGGAGACCTCATCTCAAAATAAAAACGTTCTGGGTGCGGCTCAGTGGTGAGTGCTTGCGTAGCACGCTTGAGGCACTGGGGTCCATCCCCGTGTTGCTAAAGAAAAACAGGTAAAAGAAGGGGGGCACTAGCACCTACTTCTTAGGGTTATTTCCAAGACTAAAGAGTTTGAGGCTATGTAGGGGTGCCCGATAGTGCTGGCTCCCATACTCCATGGGGTCTTTCATTCTGGAGGGGGGGTCCTAATTTTTTTCAAGTTCTTTGTATTATTTATTTATTTATTTGAGACAGGGTCTCGATATGTAGCTGAGGTTGACCTTCAACTCACTTTAGGGTGGTTTTGAACGTGCAGCAATCCTCCTGCCTCAGCCTCCCAAGTGCTAGGGGATGACAGGTGTGCACCGCCAGGCCCAGGTCTTCTGTAAGCTCTTAGCCCCTGAAAGTACCTTATGCCTGGTTTGTTTACCCTTTAAGGTCAGGCATTTTCTCTGGTTCACCCTCTGCACCTGCTATGGGCTGCTAGAGCACTGCAAGGTAGAAAGCAGGTTCAACACCACGCTTGGTTTGAGTGAACGAGTGCGCAGGGCACCAATGAGACACGCAGAGCAGCATGGATGAGGCCCAGCCCCGCCAACTCGCCGGTCTCCAGCAGACGGTCATTGTCAATGTAGCCACCGGGGGGCGCCAGAAGTCAGGTAGCCGATCTCACCTCGGCCACCTCGGTCTTTCTCTCTTGGAAATGGGGTGAGGGAGGTCTGTGGGAAGGAAGGGCAGGGACAAAAAGCTGCTGTCTCGCGGGATCTGGTTCCTTCTCATCCTTTCCTGCCTACCCCGTCCTGCCCCTCCACCCCAGCACCACGGCTTTTTGTTTGGGTGGTTTTTTCAGATTCTTGTTATTTTATTTTTGTTTGGTTGATTTTTTGAGACAGGGTCTCCCCATGTGGTCAATCTCCTCGTGATCCTCGTGCCTCGGCCTCCCAAGTGTTGGATGATAGGCGTGCGCCACCACGCTCGGCTGGTGGTTTGCTTTTACAGTACTGAGTAGAGGGAGTCCCGGGTTTTTCACTACTGAGCCGAACGCACAGTTCTTTTTAAAAATTTTACGTGGAGACAGGCTCTCCCTAAAGTGCGCAGGGTGAGCTCAAATTTAGGATCCTCCTGCCTCAGCCTACTGAGAAGCTGGGATTAGAGGTGTGTACCACTTTAACAAGCTGTAAATTTTTGGTTTTTTTATGTGTGCATTTTAAAGAGTTGAGTCATCAGATTAAGAAAGTCAGCGGCGTGACAGTGCCTCCCGGCCGTGTCCCCAGCACCCGCTTTACCTCCCCTCTGTTAAAAGGTTATTTTGACTGTTATTTCCGCATCTCTAAAGCCTGCCTGTTATGCCAACTGTTGACTTTCTTTTTTAAAAAATTTGCTTCCTTCTCCCGAGTGGCCCCATGCTCTGCCCCCTGCCCCTCCTGAGCTGCTGGAGACAGTGCCTCGCAAACCCCGTGAGGCAGACTGGGCTGGGCTGGAGCTCAGTGCGAAGCCCTGGTTCAGTTTCCAGTACTGCAAACCCGGAACCAAGCGGATGCCCCGTCTTGATTTTAGGACTGGGGCGTAGCTCAGTGGGGATTTCTGCCTCAGCCATGAAAGCTGAATCGGGAAGTGTAGCCGAGGTGGATATTCACAGAACGCTTGCTTGCTTTCTTCCCCTTATTTTTTTGGTTCTCAGGGTTGAACCCAGCGCCCTTCCACTGAGCTCCCTCCCTTGCCCTTTTTATTTGTATTTTGAGACAGGGTCTGGCTAAGTGGCCAAGTGGTCAAGGCTGGGCTTGAACTTTCCATCCTCCTGCCTCAGCCTCCCATACTGCTGGGATTACTACAGTAGCAGTTATGAATTCCCAAGTCATGAGAATTCAAATCCACCAAACCACATCTTCGGTAAGTCAGTCACATCACAGTATCTCATGACCGTTGTCACCATCCTGAATTGAACACAGGGGCTTCGGGTGTGAGCCCAGAATGGGAGCACTTCCTCCTCCGGTGCTGGGGTGGGACCCAGGCCTGGTGCGGCCACAGCTCTGAGCCCCACCCGGCCCCTGAGCCTGTGGCCGACGCTCTCCGTGCTCCTGCACCCCACACCTACCAGGCTGGGGACAGCGCGTGGCCCATGATGCGTCCCAACGCTGCTGTCTCCTAGCTGAGGGGGGGTGGGGCAGGGAGTCCTGGGAACGCATCTGCCCGAGGTGGCCCAAGCCTTCCATCTAGGCACTCCAGAGCCTCAGGCAGGAGGGCCGCAAGTTCGAGCCCAGCTTCTGCCTCAAAATAAAAAAGAGCCTGGGATGTAGCTCAGTGTAAAGCCCTGGGTTGAATCCCTAGTAGGGAAAAAAAAAAAAAAAAAAAAATTAAAATAAAACAAAACAAAAAGTCCCTAATTTAGGGAGGCATCACAAACAAAGGTGTACACACTTAACCTAGTGTTGAATAATACACCACTTGTGACTTATTATTATGAACATTAATATATGGAGTAGACATATATATTAACGTTTATATATTTTGTTTGTTTGTTTTTTTCCGGTACCGGGAGTCGAACTCACGACCTCGCCCTTGCCAGGCAGGCGCTGTGCTGCTGAGCTAAATCCCCAGCCCCTAACGTTTATATTACAATAACTGCCCACTAATTTTTGCTTAGTATTGATATTTATTTCATGCTATTGTATACTTTACATGTACTGGATTTACTAAAGTACAACTGAGGTGTTATATTACATTGGTCATTAATGTTTACATGAATAACATATTTATTATTTATTTATTTATTTATTTTCGGTACTGGGGATTGAACTCATGACTTTGCACTTGCCAGGCAGGTGCTTCTGCCACTGAGCTATATTCCCGGCCACATATTTATTATTCAGATAGGTAACATGAAAATACATAAATATGTATATCAAATGTAAAATATAAGTATACATATGTAAACATATTATACACAATAGAATACACACATAGATAGTTATGGTTTTGCATATTACATTTATGTGATTCATGTATGTGAACACTATTATGTGAATCATATGAATGTACTACTGATATGGATGAATACCATTATACAAATAATGCAGTATGGTGGGACTGTATAATAGACAAGCAAAATATAAGCATTTAATATTTAGGTATTTTATTATATTCGTACTTCAAAAATGTAAATGAAAGTACATTATGTAATTTTATTACTCCCACATAAGCATAATGCACAATTTTTTTTTTTTTTTTGTCTTTTTGAGACAGGGTCTCGCTGTGCAGTTCAGCCTGGCCTTCAGCTCACTTTGTAGCACAGGCTGGTCTCAAACTCGCAATGATCCTCCTGCCTCAGCCTCCCGAGTGCTGGGGTTACAGGTGTGCGCCACCACTCCTGGCCTATTTATATTTTTCGTATTACATTTATATGAGTGTGGGCATTTATTTATGTAAACATTATACAATTTAGTACTATAAATATAAAATAAAAATAGAAATAGTATACATATTTTTACATTTAACAGGAAAACATATTAATATTAATAATGAATAATATGAACAAAATAATACCACGCACATTCCTGGTGTATAACGTACGTAGCAGAACGTGTTTTTTGGCGCTTGATGGAAACCGCATTTCACTCGTGCATAACAAATGTCACTTAATGGAACACGCGGCGACGTCTTTCCGTCTCCGGATGCCTGGGGGCGCTCTCGGCGTTCCTGGGCCTTGCCACCACTAGGCCACGCCCCTATCCCCGATTGGCTGCGTGATGTGCGTCACTCATGGCCCCTCCTCCCGCCACGCCCCCGAGCTCGGGCCCCTCCCTTCGCACTGGGCCGGCGCTTGTTGTTCAGCGGCGGCGGCCGAGCTGGGGGTGCAGCCTCAGGCCCGCCGCCGCCGCCGCCGGGGCGCTTGGCCATGGAGCTGGAGGTGCCGGACGAGGCGGAGAGCGCCGAGGCGGGGGCCGTGACGGCAGAGGCGGCCTGGGCGGCGGAGAGCGGAGCGGCGGCAGGTAACGGTGCGGCCCTGCTGC